CCCAAATCCCCCTTTTCGCCTAGCAGCCAACCCTAGCTAGAGCTTTCGTGTACTCCTTTTCATGAAACTTTATCTAGACAACTGTCAACGAAATTTCTGGCTAAACTACGTTGTCGAAAATTGGTCTTCTGGCTAAGCCACGTTGCCAATGGCTTCCAAGTGATTCTTACAGCTTCGGACTTTTACGCTGTCCCATCTTTTCCCAAAACCGTAATTTATTTTTGCAACTGATGACTGAGCTTCTCACGTACTTGTCTTAAGAAATGGAACACAAATCGTCTCAGAGACTGCGAATCGACCATTTTGTATCCCTCGATTCCAGTCAGATATTTTCCAACAAAGTTGAGCTGCCTGCAAATGAGTCGTTTTTACATGAGTCGTTCAAAAATAGTCGTTTCATTTTGAAAGCTAATTGTGATAAATGGGGTTCCATTTGTCTCTGGTCTAGTTTCCCTCTCATGATAAACAAAAAATAATAATGTAGACACAAACCTGCTTGGAACAACGGAAATGTAGATCCAGTAGAAGAGTGAGCAGAGGGTAGCACCAGCCAAAAGAAAGTACCAGAACCACAGGAACAAGAAGATTTTCTCGTTGAACATGTTGATCATCAGCACACATTGGACAGTGTGGCGGTGTACATTTCCTAGCACCTTGACTTCAAAATCACAAAGTGTGACACGTGGAAAATGGCCAGACTCCTCCCATTCTCTTCCATTCATTAGGTCGTTGAGAACTTGAAGTCCATACCATTTGCTACGGTTTCCAAGGAAAGTGTTGAGAAGGAAGATTTGACCAACAATATTCACAGTGTACAGAATTTTGACCGAAATATAGAGGAAAGTGACAGCAGCTCCAGATGACCGTGTGCAAATGATCAAGTTGAGCAGTTTCAGGCGGTTTCCGGACATCTGTAGATCAGAATTTCTTCAATTTAGGCTTGTCAAGCAAACGAAAAAATAGGCAAAAATATCTGAATCGAAAAATTCTGGGAATGCGAAAAAAGGTCTGTTTTAGTGTTTCTCAATTTTTCAAAGTGATTGGAAACCTGACAGCCGAGCTACAGACTTCTAAAAATAGTCAAAATTATCTGAAAAATACGTTTTCGTATATATATTTACGGTTCTTCATATCTGAAATTTTCTGTATAATGTTCCCCATTTTTTTTAATTCAAAATTTCCGTACCACTTGATGTTTCACGTGAAGAGCCTCTTCCACATTAGTGGCAATCGTTTGTAACGCTCTATTCCTTGATTCCAAATCCAACAGTCTAGAGTCGCACGCCATCTGTACCAGTGATTGTACATGAATACCTGAAAAATGATTTGTCTGTTGTTATTAGTCATTTTTCATATTCCATTAACTTCGGACTCCAACTTGAATAATTCTCCCTGTTCCAAATGATACATTCCCATCTTATATATTTATTTCTTAGTTTTTTCACTGAGATTTTTTAAACATCAACAACAACACTCGCAGGAGAATCTCTCTCTCTCTCTCTCTATCTCTCTTAAGGAAGACAAAAACGGGGGAGCTGAGAAAATTTATGTATACTCCCTCGAGGTGAGAAGAGAAGACGATGCTTCGAAGGAATTGAAATGGTTGAGCGCCTGCGGCACAAAATATCGGAGAAGAAGAAAAAACGAAGGAGCTGGAAAACCGGGGGTCCCGCGCATTCCTTCCGCGATATTTTTGTTGTTCTTCGCGCCGTTCTTGACGCGTTCTCCTTTTTTGCTCCGTTCTCCTTGAAGCTTCGTATTTTTTCAGTCTCGATCTCCCTTGAAAACAACAATTTTCTCTTTTCTTGGTCTTTGGTAGTAGGCTGGTGGTGTTCCTCCGGACCTCACGTCACATATGTTTTTGTGATGCCATGTGTTTTGCGTTGTTCCGAACACTTTGTTATGTAAGAGAACGGAATTCCGTAATTTTTTAGGGTAAATTAGCCTTTGTGGAACCCCAAACTGTGTGCATTGAACAAAACATAAAAGAGTAGGGAGAGCAAAACAAGGTGTACTAAAATTGGGTATTCAAAATGGAGCTGCTAAATTGGAGACATTGTCTACTGCATACATAATGAGCACCCCACATGTTTTCTCGATCTACGTCACTCACTTAATACATTTAATTTGGTCTTAGGAATTTAGGAAATTTAGAAAAAAAAACATACCTGATTGCCAGCTGAGCAGCCTCCATACAATAGTCGGCACATAGAAAAGAAGAGCTTCCAGAGCTAATACAAACGGAACCCATTGATAATACCTGGAAATTTTTAATTTTTCAAATATTGGAGTTTTTCACTCACCCGATTTGTCTATTTTCACGTTCAGCATAGTTATGTGGAATGTAGTCGTGTAAGGGAAGGAAGTAGGTGTTCTGGACCCAACAATAGTTTTCCGTGTACTGCTCCATGGGCTCGGTGAACGTCGCAGGAACCCAACATTGGATTGGAAAACCTGAAATAGGCATGATTGGGGGCTTTTTCGTGGAGAAAATTGAAAACTCACCGACATACTGTTTGGCAGAGACGAGGATCGCGAATACTGAAATTGAAAAATTGATTATTTTCAAGTCATGAGGCCTCAAGAGCTTAAGTCCCTAATTTAGATGGTATTTAGAAAACAAAGTTTCAAAAAATATTATCAGACAAAAATTGGAGATACAGTATTGGTCGATTAGATACACAGGAAAGTATTTTCAGTTGATTTTTAGCCATTTTCTGAAGCTCAGCTTTCAACTTTCCGATCATTTTGAAACATTTGGAAGGTATAAAACAGACCTGGATTGAAAACTTTGCATTTGCAGAATTTTTTGAAAATACCTAGTTTTTCAGATGTTTGCCAATATCCGGAAGACACATGTTTCTTCAAGTGTTTAGTACAAAAATATTTTGAAAAGGGGGTCTTTCTGAAACCGGCAAATTGCTTAAAAACAAGGAATTTTCAAAAACTTCTGTGACCGGAATGTTTTCCATTTAGGTGTGTTTCACACTCTCCAAAATGTTCAATATTATCTGACACTTGACAGTCGAGCTTCAAACTACTGAATATTGTCTTGAGAGTCAAGCTCTAGACTACGGAAAATGATCAAAATGGCTGACGATCTACTGAAAAGTAAGTTTTGTTAATCTTATTGACTCGTACTGTATCCAAGTCCTTAGGGAAGATATTAAAAAACGGTCAACTGACAAAGTATTTTGGATATGGTAAACATTTTACCAGTTGATTATTTCTTGATATCTGTTACAGGAAGCGAGATAGCTGGGTTCAAAGTTGGCGGTGAGCTGAATTTAATTTTGTAGCATAAATTTTCGAGTTCCAATTTTTCCAGTTTTGAATCAGAATCTTTAAACCTATTTCCTTCAAATTATCAATCGCAACCCATAAATCATTTCACCATATGCTTCCTGTCAAAAAGAGCTGAAAACCAAATGAAACCAGAAACACATGGCAGATTGGAAACATCTCCTCGAAATCACATAGAAAATGTAACAAAATAAAAAGGGAGGGGAGGGTGAATCCGTGGTTAATGGGTACTAATTCATGAAGATTTATTTGCTTTTTTTTCGGTGTCTCCTTTCATCTTTTTCTGCTTAGATTTTTTGTGGATCTTTCAGGAATAACATTTCTCAAATAAAAAGACTTACCTGTGATGATGGCTGTGGTGTAGTAATAATTGAGCTTGTCAATGATGTCATCGTCAACGTGGAACTGTATTGACTTGACAGCACTCGCGAAATAATACAATAGCATACTCATCCTAAGTCATGTCGTTAGTGGCGCTCGTAGCGCCTTTTTCCGATCTGCAAAAAAATATTTTCACAATAAATTTGATACGTGACAGGTACCAAAGGGAAAAAAACGGAATAAATTGGAAAAACGATCGGCTTATGTGATGTTCTGGAAATTCATGAAAACACATCTTGTTAGGACATGAGAGGAGAGGCTTTGGGTGCGAGTGGAGAAAATAGAAACCAGTGGGAGCCGGGAAAATGTGATGGAACAACACGGACGGCGTCTGTGAATGGCAGGCCAGGTCGTTCTAATTATGCATTAGAATAAGGGAGGAAAATGTAAGATGAGGGTTGGAATGGAAATGTAGTTTTCTTTGCAAAATATCCTGTTAAATTATGAATAAATCAAAAAAACCTTTTTAGATACTGTAAAAAAAAACTGTTTTAAACAAGAAAAGAGCGTTCCTTATTCAAATCTGGGAGATATACTTTTAAAACTAGATCCCATCTTTTTATTATCCGAAAAGAATCTTATTAGAAGCCTATTCACCCCTTTTTCAACGTGAAAAAGGCCAGAAAAACCTGGTGCAAAAGCTCAGCAGAACTCAAATTTGTATTTTATAGTCTTTGTTGTAGAATAATGTATTTAGAACTATGCACTTCTAATGAGACCTTATCTAAAACGGCAATTTAGGAAAAATAGTTTCAAATTTTTTAAATTGCGACAAATCAAGGTTAAAAAATTGTCAAAGAATAATAATAAAATTTAGGAAAAAAATGAACATTTCAGATTTCAAAAAACAAAAAAAATCCAGTATGGCACTTAATAATAGTGGGAGGAGATCTGACAAAATAGCCATGCTCCAGGAAAAATGCATACGAAAAAGAGCTCTGTCTTACTCTACATTTCTTTCTCTATCTCTTCCTCTTGCCTCCTGCCTTCTTCTTCTTCTTCTCCTCCTTCTTTTCTTCCACGAAATTTGATGGCCAGTAGAAAAAGAAGAAGAAGCAGAGAGTCCCGGGATGTTGGAGCCCCGAGCCAGTAGGAAAAAAAACGAAGAAAAGTGGGAGATAGGAGACACAGACTCGCATACACATATATACCCGAAAAACCAGCAACAGAGTAAGAAAGAGAAAAAAGAAGAAGAAGAAGCATCACATTGGCTCACTATTTTTCCTTCCTTTTCTCTCATTTTCCTTCTGAATTTTGCATCCCAAGGCATTCTTTTCTTTCTGTCTCATACCCGCCCGTTATTTCTTCTTTCTTTTCTCTTGTGTCCATGAATCCATGATGCTTCTTCTTTTTCTTCTTTTTTTTGCACAAAAGCATCTGGATGGAAATGAAGAATGACAAAAAAAATCCAGATGAAGACGACACAATACAACAGAATACTTAGTGATGTGCATTGAAATGAAAGAAAACGATAGAGAATGCATAATTTTGGATCTCCTTTTTTTTTCTAAAATTTTCATCTCATTATTCTATTTTTTCTGTATTTTTAATTTTCTACGCTTAAATGATTCTAAAAAACCCCAGGGGAGCCTGTATCACCCACCAAAAAAAGAAACTCAAGAAAAAGAAACTAAAACCTTTAACAACAAAAAAACCGAGCGTACTCATGTCTGAACCTCAAACCACCACCTCAAAACAATTCTTATTCGTTTTTCTCCTCTCTTCTGTCCCAGGCTCTCTTAAGACTAACTAATCAGACAAAAAATGAAAGTAAACTAATTAGATATATACGATTTTCAAAATGGAATGAGTATTGGTCAGAGGCAGCAATCAGAAAATGGAGCAAAACGATTTACAGAGATTTACAAAAATTTTGAAGTTCAAAAACAAAAAAAGCAAGAAATTGTACTGAACTTTAAGGTCAACTCAATTATTATTTTGTTACAAACTAGAAGAGAGTGGACCAAAAAAAATTTCGCAAACCAAAAAAAAATTTTTTGTTGAAAAAAGCTACAAGAAGAGGACCATTAACAATGGAAAAAGGAAGTTACACATTATATTAAAGCAACACACGCACACAAAAAAAAGAAATAAAAAAAGAAGACGGAAGATGGAAAGAAAAAGTTTTTGAAGTGAATAAAGAAGCACACATACATACATACAGAAAGAAGAAGTTTTTGGTTTAGATTGAAAGTGGGGAAAGGGACCAGTGGACCTGGTTGGTGGACGTGGAGGATTCTAAAGTGTCGTGTTGCGGAATTTTGCATACTCTCTCTTTTCCTATCATTTCGTTTCTCGATTTCTTGCGCTTTTTTTCCTACCACTGCGCGATTTGGAGTTTTTCTGCTTGCTTTCCTCAGTGGTTGGAAAAAAAAAGAAAGACGGACAATGGGTCCGGTGTCGAACACGATAAGAATTACTACATACAGTACTGGTCAATCAGATATACAAAAACGTATTTTCAGCTGATTTTTGGCATTTTCAGGCGTCTGAAGCTCGGCTGTCCAGTTCCCCATCACTTCGAAATTTTGAGGGGTGTAAACAGAGCTAAATTGAAAACTTTATAACTACAGAATTTTTTGAAAATGTCTGGTTTTTCAGCTATGCCAGTTTTTGTACTGAAAACATAAAAAAATACAGGTGCCTTTCGAAAATCGCTCGCCACATAGCTGAAAGTTAGAAGCTTTCAAAACATTTTGTGAATTCAAAGTTTTTAATCCAGACCTGTTTTACAGTCTCCAAAATTTTTTGGAAATGATCGGAAACTTGACAGCTGAGCTGCAGGCTTCTGAAAATGATTGAGAAGGCCGAAAATCAACTGAAAAAAGGTTTGGTAATCTTTTGGACCGGTAATGTATGCAAAAATTATTTTTTAATCAAGTCATACTGTTTCAATCAAGGCGGTATCATGAATGTTTTCAAAGATTTAAAGTATTTTCGAAAACAAAAAAAAAATCATCCGCCATCAAAAAAACTTCAAAAGTCTTACAGTACCTTCTTCTTAATTAACTATTTAATGATTTCACAAATTTCAGAAGATCCTAGACAAAAAGAAATATTTCGTCATCTACAAACGATTGAGGAAAAGAAGGCCTCCCCTTTTCTGATATGTTATTCAATTTCGATGAATTCCAAATCGATTTCACATCAAGCGTCATTCATTCTCAAAACTTCTTGCTACAAGGCTACCTTGGCGTTCTGAACAAATTGTCCAAACTACACCCTAGAGATTGTTAAAGCTTTATGAAAAATATCAAAAAACTATCAACTGATAAAGTGCTTTTCATAACATCAGTAGCATTTCATCAGTTGACACATTTTTGATAAGAACTTGGATAATGGAGCTGAAAGTTCGCGTACAGGATGGGCTCCTAATAGTTCGTATAAAAAAGGGGAATCTAAAAAATTGTCTACCTAAAAATGAAAAAAAAAACGTAATTCAGTTGTGAAATATAACTGACTCAACAAAAACAGTATGCATAATTAGATGCAGAGTTGTAAGACGCCAGGATAAGAAAAGCATCAGTGGGTCTATTGGTGGGACAAGAAAGAATGGGAGAGGAATAAATAGAAGAAGAAGATGCAATGAAGTCTTGGAGCTGACTGACTTCAGCGGTTTTGATAGGTGTTTTAGTGGCGAAGGAGGTCCTCTCTCGCTTTTTTTTTGTTCTAGATGGGGCTATATTCCGTGTTCACGAGCAGAGTGGAACGACTGAATAGCGTTAGTTCTTTCACTTAAACAAGTGGTATAGTTAATTGCACTGAAAGTGTTTTGAGTCGTACTAAAAATCTATGGGGAGAAACGGAATGCAAGAATCGAGAACTTTCAGAAATACTGGGAAATGGGAATTAATGGGAAAAACTAAAAACAGGGGAAACAGTATCTTTGAACAAAAATTTTAAATGCCCAAAAATACAGAGTACCAAGATGAAACCTAACAAGGGAATCGCAACGTCGCGTAAAATATAGCCTAAATACAATCTTCTGCAAATTTTAGAACCCGCTCGCCAGTTTCAGCAGAGGTATAAAAATTTTAGTACCGAAATACGCTTTTTTTCAGTTGAAAATAACGATTTTCAAAAGTGATTTTCTCAATTCTTAGGACGTTTCGGAGCATAAAATTTGTTATATTAATCTTAGATTTGTGAGAAATTTCATATTTGAGACAATTTCTCAAAAAAAGTGTTTTATTTTCAATTTGTTCCGCAATTTTTCACATTTATTCGAAAATTGAAATTTTGAATTTTTTGAGAAAATGTCGGAAATATAAAATTTTTAACATTTTTAAGTGTAACAGAACAAATCCCACGTTCTAAAACATTCTAGAACTTGAGAAAATCACTGAAAACGGGATTTCTAGTACCGAAACTGATATTACAGAAGTGTCTAGAAAGGATATTTTTGACATAGCCTGAAATTATGAAGAAAATCTGGGTTCACGATGTGTTGAAGTTCCGTTGTAAGGACAGAAAACAATAATCGAAATCCTCAAATAAAGCCGAAGATCTTAAGTAATATCTTAATACTCAAATCCATTCAAAACCAAAAAGCTACTCCACAACGAGTTCTCGAAAATTTCACCCAAAAATTGAACATTTTGACGAGTGTCTATCAAAATATTAGTGGGACTTCCCACTCTCCCACTCTCTTCGCTCTCTATTTTATTGAGATTTTGTCCCGTTTTTCTTCACTCCGTTTTTTTTTCTTCTTTGTTTCTTCCATTTTTCTTCCATTTTCTTTTGTTCTCAACGGAACTGAATGGAAGCTCAGAGAGCTCCAACTTTCATCAGATCCGGCGACTGACGCACCCGTCGCCGGGACGGGTGAAAGATTAGAAAACAGCAGCAACAAGATAACAGAAAATACGTCAGGATGAATGGGATAGAAAGTGGGAAGAAAAAAAGAAGGAAGCAGTTTGTGTACTTTTTATAACACCTTTTAGTGAGAAGGAGTAAGAAGAGATGTGAAGGAAAAACCTCGAGGTGTCAGTTTTCATAAGTTTGGCTGCAGTAAGAAGGAGCTGCAAAAATACTCTGACAAGTTTATGGTACTCTCTCAAAGTTCCAAAGCT